TATATATATATATATGTATGCATACTGTATAATTTGTCTAAGTCTAATTTAATTTCTTCTCTCTTATCATTTGATAGTTTTATTGTATTTGGGTCGCAGGCTTTGTGCCAGAGCTCAGAGATCAAAGAGGCCATCGATGCTGCGGGGGCCCTAGGTGCTCCGGAGTGCAACAGCATGCGCTGTGCCCCTCTCTGAGACACTCTCCAAACCCCAAAACCCTAAACTCCCTAAACCCCTAAACCCTAAACCCTACACCCCAAAACCCTACACCCCAAAACCCAAAACTCCCTTATCCCCTAAACCCTAAACCCATCTGTGAGACCCTCTCCAGCTCGGCCCCAATGCCCAGAGCCTGAAGTCGAGATGCGCAGCCTGCCAGGCCAGAAAGTCTCTCACAATCTTTCGCCAGTCGTCGGATTACAAGCAGCAGGCGAGAAAGAGCCAACGAGCATCCTTCAGAAAGGAGGTTTATGAGATGTCGTTTGATGCAGTCTAATATCATATGATATGATATGATCTGAATATATTCTGTTATATATCTATAGTGTAGCAGAGTCTCGTCTAGTGTAGTATCGTATACTGTGGTCTAGTCGAGTCTAGTATAGTCTAGCATAGCCGTCTGGTCCAGTCTAGTCTAGTATAATATGGTATAGAACCTTAAGCCCTAAGCCCTAAACCCTAAACCCTAAAACCCGAAGCCCTAAACCCTAGAACCCTAAACCCTGAACCCTACCCCCTAAGCCCCAAAACCCTAGAACCCTAAACCCGAAGCTCCTAAGCCCAGACTTGTAGGCAGCTTCGCTGCTCGCTGTGGCCTCGATTCATCTGGCCCGAGAGCGGCCTCAAGACGCACTTCGCAGTGCCAAGGCCCAGGGATGTCGGTCGACGTTAGAGGGGCCTCCTTTTCTAAAAAGCCGTCGTAGACTAAAAGTCTACTAGATTTATATACTGCATTATCTTTCAAACTGTATCATATTGCACTATAAGAATTTTTGTTCTCTTCTATCATATTGGTGAAGTGATCGTGTAGTATACTCTCTTATACTATGCCGTATTGTGTTGCGATGTATCATCTTGGGGTTGCCGAAAATAGCGGACCCTAGCATAGTATCCTAAATGGTAGGATCCTTATCACAAGGACCTCAAAATAAGGTACCCTTACTTTCGGAAACCCCCTGTAAACTTTACTAAGGTGCCCTTATTCTCGGAAACTCCCTAAACCTTAAACCCTAAACCCTATTAAGATACCCTTATTATCAGAAACTCCCATATGGCATATGTCTCCAGGATGCACAGCACCTCTCGAAGCGCATTGGCGACTCTCGAGGTTGGACCAGCCAGTTACCATGGGCCCTAGGTTTAGTGCGTTGAGGCCTTGGGTTTAGGGTTTAGGGCCTACTATAGAAGGTTTTTGGTGCCTTCTGTAGGATTGTTGTATTTCTCAGTATTGCTAGACGATGGATTTGGGCCTATTGTAGCATTAGTATAATTTCCCGTGTTGTTAGCCTAGGGTTTGGGGCCTCAGGCCGTAATGCCACCACACCATACGACCTGATCATCGATGAGAGGGGTACGGGGACCTCTATTTCTGGGTTCTTGGTAAAGAGTCTAATTTAGGTTACCATTGTACTGTAGCCATGCTATTGACTTTCGATCCCTGTTCTGGTAATTTCAATTAAGTTCCCCAGCAGGAGCCCCAGATTTTCCCTGCAAAGAAGCGCATTGCCCTAAATCCTAAACCCTAAACGCTATACCATGAGCAGGTGTGGCGAACGCCCAGGTTGTCGTGGCAGAGGCAAAGTTTGGAATGGAATTCACTGCATTGCCAAAGCTTCGGACTTTTAAGAATACATCGCATTTCGTTTAATATAGTACGGTAGTAAAAAGTCGAGTGGCTATGGTATATGAAGCATATATACAGTTATATATAACATATCATCTATGATATGCCCTATGTAACATGTAACCTTTAACATAAAGTCTGAAATTGTAGCGCTGTTCCGGTATTCGGTCGACCTGCAGCTTTCCAGGCCGGAGCCAGCCAGCACGCCTCCACCAAAAAGTGCGTAGCTGTAGGATATGTATGTATGTATGTATGTATGTATGTATGTATGTATGTATGTATGTATATATATATATTATGCAGTATTGAGTATTTAGGACATACCCTATACTGCGTCATATCTACTAAGTATCATATGATATATATATATATACAAATACACATAATCTGTCAGGATCTCCAAACGTATCAAGTGCTCAAAATCTTGTCGCCCCGACATTTTGTCGGACCGGGAAGAGGCATGTGGGGTTCGGGGGCACAGACGGGTCTCCATGATAGGAGGAAGTCGGGCAGGCGTTGGTCTGAGCTAACTCAGCCAACTTTCGCTGAATTCCGATTTGTTCGGAGGCACGGTAAGAGAGTCTGTTTTGCCTTGCCTGGGTTCAGACAGCACGTGGTGTTCTCTGCGGTTCAAGCAGCACCAGTCTGACAGATTTCAGTAAAGCAGAGCAAGTTGCAGTGAGTGGGGACCACATCGGCCACAGGGCAACACCTTATGAAAGCGAGTTTATCCATTCTGCTTCGTGAAGAGCTAGGTTTTCTTAGTCAGCTCTTGTGTGAGAAAGTCGTCGATGGTTCGTAGGGGGCGAGTAACTTCTGACACTTCTGGAACCTGCAGTTCCACAGCTTCGTGAGGCCCAGGTGGAGAATGACGAGCAGCGCGAGGCCTTGATTCTCCTGAAGGAAGCACAGGATCGATACCAGGCCCGGCATGCTCCTTGCAGTGCCCATGTGCGTGATATGTGCTGCCGGATGTGCCCACCATCTTGGATGGCTGCCTGCTTCTCCGCTCCTTTTGCTTCTAGAACCGGCGAGCATCCACGCCCAGTCAGTTTTAAGCCAACTTTATGTTGATCACGTACATGTTAAGGACACTTAAGCTGAGTCAAGTTTTGTCGATGCACAGCTGCAAGCCCTGGGAGTCAGATGTGTCGATTCCGCAACCTATCAACGAGCTCTGTCCAGCCCATAGTGACGTCCTACTGCAGACCACAGGAACATATAGTCGCGTGTGCCGTGCGCAGGCATGAAGCAAAACAACACCATCAACACGATCCGTCGGTTTACAGCTTTTCCCGAAAGCATCGCGAAGGGTTCTTCCGTGCGGAGCCTCGCAGAGAAAATACATAGAGAATACGTGGAGTCAAGTACACTTGACTTTACCACACTTGACTCTACGACACTTAGCTTTACCACA